TGCAATACTGGGGAATGACCTTAACTGGTAGGAAACCTGAAAATAACAGTTTAAAAAGATAGAAAAACACTAAAGAGATAATGATGAACCATAAAGGAACAAGGATGGCTAAGGATGGAGAAGATTAACACGGATTACAAACGACATATTTGAAAAATTGAGGCTAAACTTTTCAATATGCGCAAACCGTGACTGAACTCGTTTAAGTTTACCGAAACGAAATTCCAACAGGTCGGGCTTATTATAACTAGACAGAACTTTGAACCTGCTGACAACGAAAGTTTTAAATGCATGCTTTCATGCTTGACAGGGTCACGCTTCTTGTCACAGATTTTGTTGGTGGTAGTTCTTTTACTCCTGGGGCCCGTTTCTCGAAAGCCCCGGAAACTTTTCGGGCCCGTAAAGCCATAGCAAAATCTCGAACCTGATGATTACAGAGCTGTTTTATTCACATATTCTTAATATGAAGAGAAGTTCCCTTCATACAAGAAGTTTCAGCTGTATGCAGTTCTCCGTTTTCAGATACAGATGGACTAAAAATGGCTTTACGGGACCGAAAAGTTTCCGGGGCGTTCGCGAAACGGGCCCCTGGCGACCAACCTCTTAACGGGAATCTCTACGCTTTGAAAACTTTGGAAGAACTTGAAACTAACTTATGATAAGCATCTCTGCAGTGTTCTCTATATTCTTAAATTATATACATGTTTTCCATACTTCTTGAGACAGAGAACATTTCCATGTTGTGATAAGGAAATTAAAGTAACGGATGAATTATGGTTTGAATTTCCTTTCAGATATGAGTTTCCAGGCAGCACAACGAGTCATGTCATCTGATCCACAGAGAGCATTGAAAGTGCTGAGAGACATCAGTCAGAATCTGCCCATGCAAACCAGGTARCTTGAAGAAGGTTTTATGTAATATATCTATCACACACGAGAGACAGTGTTTCATCGGTATATTCCAAACACCGAGAAGAGAGTTGAAAATACGACGTGCAGCGGAGTATTTTTGACAAAATTCGAGGTGTTTGGATAGCGGATGAAACCCTGTCTCAGGTGTTTGATATATCTTCACAATCGAAACAAAAGCTAAGAAGTAAACAGAGAAGTAAAATCGTCAAAATCTATATTAATTAAGACCCGGTATCCAAACATCCTTCACGGTTGTGATTTCGTTTGTTTTAACTTGATGAAATATTAATGAGTTCGAGGAGATGGTTTTATTAAGCCAAAAGAGCTCGACAAGGCATTTCAAAATCAAATGATAATTTATGTAAGTAAATAATTGCTTGAAGTAGGTGAAACACAACAGGAATAGAGGGGTACAGATGATTATATATATTACAAAAGGTTTATTTAATGCGCAGAAAACAAAAATGGCATCTTGCTGTGAGTACATTAAGGTCACTCGTGTTTTTTTTTTTCCCTTGAGGGAGGGAAGGGGGGTGGAGTTTTAATGGTATTTTGAAAATGAAGTTTTACAGAGTCACAGAAAGCAGTTACACCTGGGTCCTTGAAGCAGTTGAATTGTTGTAGCTATTTGAAAACTTCAAATTGCTGTTTCATGTACCAGGGACCTTTAATTAGATGCAATACGAGCGCCAGATTGAGTGCGACTGAATGCCGGTGCGAATTTAAAATTTCAATCCAGTTATCTTCCCAGAGCCTTTATTTCTTCCTGTTTCTGACCATTTGCTTAGTAGACTATCTCTCTGAGATTCCTGTAAAGCGTGAGCGAAAGCTTAAGCACAAGGTTTGAAAAGTCCCCAATCATGCTTAATCTTGTGCTCTGACTCTGAGCTAGGCCAGGTCCGTATAACTGTTTTCTAGCCCTG